CACCCCGGCCCTACGCCCGGGACAAGTGGCAGGCCTTGAGACAGGACTTCCAGGCGGAAAAGGCGGAACGCACCCGCCTGGAAGCACTGGCTAAGCCGGTTCCGGTCCTTCAGGGACTCGTCAAAAACTTGACCATTCGTGCCCAGCATACGCCGCAAAGGCAGTGTGCACGCCATGAAAAGAAAACGGAACAATTAAAACGTCAATTGGCCGTGCGTTCGGTCCGGGTGGCGAGACTCACGGGGGCTGATTCGGGTGACCCTTGTGAGGGCTTTGATCTCTCCCTTTGTGAGGATCCTCAATTTTGGGCATAACCTGGTTGCACCCCTATAGTGGCCCTCATTAAGACTGAGGAAAGGTCCAGCGGGAGAAGGGGGGAAAGTGTCGTATGTACGGCACCCCCAGCTACGAGGAGAGCACCCCGTGGGGTAATTATGAAAAGGAAAGGGACCAGGTGGGGTGGGGGCTAATTAAGGAGCCCACCCTCCTTGTTAAATTGGTAGTGAAACAAAGCCTGTGCCCATGGAAAGGAACGGTTCGGCGAGAAAAACAGGATCAGGCCCAGACAAGCAGGCAGGCAACAGATAAGGAAATTAGAAAACAGCCTTGAGGGCATAGTGGCAGGAGTGAAAAAGGGAATAAGTGCAGACATGGGGAATTTAAATCCCTGAAACAGTACTTGGCATGGTAAAATCGGAGTTGATTAAGGTGTTATTTTGGGGGATAAGCAAGTGATTTAAGGAAAGAGAGTGAGAAGTTGAGGCTGGAGAGAATTAATCAGTTGAATGTTGTAAAAATGTTAAAGAAGAAGAGAATTCTTGGTTTCTTTGCAGTTATTCTGAAGGAAAATTGGCCCTTTTCCAAAGAAATGTCTGTAAATAATCCAGGCAAAGAGGTTATCTAAGTGCAATCATTTGACTATGAACAAGTTAGTCAAATTTGCTAAAAGAACAGTCCTGGGGTTTTGTAGGTTTAAGATGAATTCGTGTTGTTTTGAATAATACCACTAAAATCCATTTGACTCTTCCATGCAAAGTTGCAAGACAGAGAAACACTTTTGCCAGACACAGGTAACTAGCGTTGTTTAACTTTGGTATTTAACCCTGAGGAAACTCAATGCTTTACAAAATTTAAACTGTTTAAATAAAGACCAAAGTCGTGGCTGCAGTGGGGCAGTCAAAGCCAGGAGAATGGGAAAAGATTTTAAATCTGGGTTTTTTTGGTAACAAGATAGCAGATAAGAGCTGTAGTGAAAGAGAGAAAGACCGTGCCCCACACTGAGCCTTCAGGTGGCTCTGGATAATCGAACTGTCCCTTTGCCAAAGGGAGCCACCATAGGTTGGGTTTTCCTTTTCAAATCACTGTGTGTTTTGGAAGCAGGAGTTAAAAGTTAAAAGTAATCAGAACTCTGGGGAAAGTTGATTGTGTCCCTTAGCTTTGAATCCAAACAGAGCTTCAAGGAGCCGCAGTGCCCCACCCCCTCTCCACACGGCTACTGACCTACCAGCAAGGGGGAGGAGAACCTGCCATGTCTGCGGGGGGGGGGGTCCCCTCCCCCAAACCCAGCGGCTCACTGGGGCTACAGCTGGGCCCAGCTACATGGGGAGGAGCAGCCTGTGCTCTGGGGCTGGCAGGGGGCAGGTCAGTCCCAAGTCCCCTGCCCAGGGCCGAGGACGTCCATTCTGGGGGGAAGGGAGAAGAGTGGAGGCTCCTCCCTGTGTTCGGGCCCAGCAGGGCTCTACGGTGGGGTCCTATGGCTGCTCCCCTCCCTTGTGTAGTGCACCATCATAAACACAAGTCCTGGCCTGGCTTTCCAGCTGCCTGCTGGCCCTGGAGCAACCGTGCAAGGCCAGCACCTGCCCCCTATCACCACAGGGGCGGTAAGGGGTGGGCCACAGCTGCGATATGTGGTTGGGGCCCAAAGGAGCTTGCACCAAAACTCTGGCAAGACCAGGCACAGCTCCTGGAAAGGGGACCCCCCACCACAGCCCCAGCCGAGCAACAAACTGCCTGGGGAAGGGAGCGGGAGAGCGCCCCCTGCTGAGCCCACAGCATGGAGCATCTGGGCAGCACTGTGAATGGAGAGCACCTCCTGCTGAGCCCTGACTGCCAGGGGATAGTGCCCCCTACTGAGCCTCTGCCCTGCTCCAGGGGATAATGGAGCATGAGCTAGTATCCTCCACCAGACCCCGGCTTCCCAAGGGCTGACAGCTGAGCTCCCCTGGTGGCTGTCAGAGCGTGGCCGTTTCCCAGAGTTGGCCGCTTGGCCCTGGTCTGAAACCCCATCTCCTCCCCTCCCCCAGGGCTCCATGCTGGCAGAGCATGGCTGTCCCCCAGAGCTGGGCGCAGGGCCGTAGGCTGTGTCCTCATCTCCCTTCCCCCCATGCTATGTGCTATTGGGCACGTGGCTCTTCCCGAGAGCTGGGCGCAGGGTCCTGGGCCGAATCCAGGGCACTGGCTGGCTGGGACTGGGTGAACCCGGGCCTCACTATCAGCCGGTAGAACACCCCAGGCAGGATGCGGAAGCCGAGGCGTTGCAGGGAGTGCAGCGAAGGCTCGTTGTCGGTCAGCACCCGGGTGTAAACAGGGAAGCCGCGGGCATGCAACTGTGCCGCCAGCATCCCCACCACGGACCTCATGTGGTGCTGGCCGCGATGCTCCGGGAGGGTGTAACCGTGCGTCAGGGCAGCCAGTTGGTCGGTGAGGCACCAGGAGATGGGGGTCCCCTCAGGGCCCAGCAGGCAGGCGTTGGGGAAGTGGCGGATCAGGAGGCACAGGTACCGCAGGCTCCAGTTGTTCCCCCCAAAGTTCCAGGTGTCGTTGAGCAGCGTGGCGTGGGCGGGGGACACGGGGGCCAGCCTGAGCCCCTTGTCAGGCCTGCAAGACAGGGCAGGGGGGAGAGAGACACAGGATGGGGTGGGGTGAGCACAGAAGGGATTGACCTGGCAAGGGGAGAGGGTCAGTGTGTGTGGGGGGGAATAGAACCAGCAGGGGAAGGGGTAAGTCTAGGGGAGGGAAACGGGGAGCGACCAAACATGGGAGGTGTGAGCATACGGGGATGTTGACTCAGCTTGGGGTGCGGGGTGCAGTGATCCCGGGGCTGGGGGGGTCGATCTGGTACAAGGGAGTGAGCCTGGGGAGTAGGATTGAGGGAGGGATAGCTCAGTGGTTTGAGTATTAGCCTGCTAAACCCAGGGTTGTGAGTTCAATCCTTGAAGGGGCCACTTAGGGATCTGGGGCAAAATCAGTACTTAGTCCTGCTAGTGAAGGCAGGGGGCTGGACTCAATGACCTTTCAAGGTCCCTTCCAGTTCTAGGAGATAGGATATCTCCATTAATTGGGATGACATGGAATAGGAGAGGAGCAGGCTCCGGCAGCGCCATCCTCTTCCTGGTTGAGATGCTGAGATGGGCTGGACAGAAAATTAGCCCGTATAATGCTCTCCCCAGTGCCCCCCATGGAGGGGAGGGAGGTTGGAGTGGGACTGACCTGGCACAGGGAGAAGGGGGAGTCCTGGGGGGAGGGGATCAAGAGAGGCCCCAGGACATGGGGGAAGGTGACCCCTGGGGGGTAGGGGATTGAGCCCCAGCACATGGGGGAAGGGG